CCAAATATTTAAAACATAGACTCAGTATATTTAAAAAAAAAAAAAGTAATAAAATATGTTTGTGTAATTTGACACGCATATGAATGAGACAGGTAGCCGAACTTCGAAACGTTTTTTTTTTTGTTTTTTATTTATTTATTAATATTTTTTAATGCACACTCTCCCAACAGGTGCTTTGCATGTAATCTGAGACTGTCTGTGAAGCATTGCCCTGTTGTGTATTATTGTAATGATATTTCTGAATTCAGTGCATTAAATATGTATAGTGTATACCCTTAATATAGGCACCCTTGATTCATTTTAGCAAAACGGAATGTAAAAAAAAATTGCTTTCTCTTCACTTATTGTTTTTAATTGAAGTAAAATTTACATAAAAATAAATGTGGAATATCGTTTTTTCTATTATTTGTATACTGGTCTATTATTGTACTTTAATTAAAGGGCAGATTTTTTGAATATTTTAAATGAAAATTATAAACTGATTTATGATTGATATCACTTGCCCTTACATCGTCGTCTTCTGTTTTATTTTCCAATGGCCTGCTTTTCAAAACGAATTGATGTGTTTCCAGTGCAAACTTTTTATTTATTGTTGGTGGCTATTAATAAACACAACTGTACCTTTTATTTTGCTTGACTTATAGTTTTTTGAACTGTGTAGAGTAGACTCTAATTTTAAATACATTTTTTATACTCCTTAAATTTGATTAAGTCTGGCATGCTTGATATGTCTTGTATTTCAGGCTCCTGCTGCCTTTGGACTCGTCTCTTTCCTCATGCATGCGGGTTTAGAAAGAAACCGTATCCGGAAACATCTATTAGTCTTTGCCTTGGCTGCCCCTGTTTTGGCCATGCTCACCTACGTAGGACTCAGTCAGGTATGTTTAAGTATTACAGAAAGTAACACTTTACAACAAGGTTCCATTTGATAGCATTAGTTAGCAAACTAACAATGAAATAAAAAACCTTCTAAAGCATATTAGTACTGATACTTTTTAAGAAAATATTTTTAAATATTATTCAATATTTTTAAATACAAATTTAATACTGTAACAAATGTATTGCTCACTGTTAGTTAATGTTAGTTAATGCATTATATAGTTAACAAATAGAACCTTATTGCAAAAATTGTAAAGTAAAAATAAATAATAATAATAATAATAATATTAAAAATAAGAATGTTATATTTTAAGAGTGCATTAGTGCCTGCCCACTCTGTCAGCGATGTTGCTTCTGGAATTATCTTTTTTTACAAAGGTTAAATACTGTTTTCCTTTGTTTACCTGTTTACTGCTACAGTCCCATGAAGCTTTGTGAATGGCATAATCAAATGAAAAGGAATGGTGAAATAAAGAACTTTTCATTTCGTATCAATAGAAAGGATATTTTGGCAATATATTGGGGAGAAAAAAAAACTATTGCAAAATATGCTCTCTATGAAGAAAATTAGTTTTGTCTTCCGGAACCAGACTGATACACACAATTTTCCAAATAAATTCTCCAAATATTTAAAACATAGACTCAGTATATTTAAAAAAAAAAAAAAGTAATAAAATATGTTTGTGTAATTTGACACGCATATGAATGAGACAGGTAGCCGAACTTCGAAACTTTTTTTTTTAGTTTTTAATTAATTTATTAATTTTTTTAATGCACACTCTCCCAACAGGTGCTTTGCATGCAATCTGAGACTATGTCGGTGAAGCATTGCCCTGTTGTGTATTATTGTAATGATATTTCTGAATTCAGTGCATTAAATATGTATAGTGTATACCCTTAATATAGGCACCCTTGATTCATTTTAGCAAAACGGAATGTAAAAAAAAATTACTTTCTCTTCGCTTATTGTTTTTAATTGAAGTAAAATTTACATAAAAATAAATGTGGAATATCGTTTTTTCTATTATTTGTATACTGGTCTATTATTGTACTTTAATTAAAGGGCAGATTTTTTTAGACTGATACACACAATAATACCTTTATTTATTAATTTATGTAATCTATTTTTATTATTATTATTCATTTGACTCTAAAACTACCCTGCCAATATTTATTTAAATGTGTGCTAAATTCACATATATCCTTGAATGTGTTTGTTTTTTTTGTCTATTTTCTTTCGTATTTTTGTTCACCTGTAGGGATTGTTTTTTGAACTGTGTAGAGTAGACTCTAATTTTAAATACATTTTTTATACTCCTTAAATTTGATTAAGTCTGGCATGCTTGATATGTCTTGTATTTCAGGCTCCTGCTGCCTTTGGACTCGTCTCTTTCCTCATGCATGCGGGTTTAGAAAGAAACCGTATCCGGAAACATCTATTAGTCTTTGCCTTGGCTGCCCCTGTTTTGGCCATGCTCACCTACGTAGGACTCAGTCAGGTATGTTTAAGTATTACAGAAAGTAACACTTTACAACAAGGTTCCATTTGATAGCATTAGTTAGCAAACTAACAATGAAATAAAAAACCTTCTAAAGCATATTAGTACTGATACTTTTTAAGAAAATATTTTTAAATATTATTCAATATTTTTAAATACAAATTTAATACTGTAACAAATGTATTGCTCACTGTTAGTTAATGTTAGTTAATGCATTATATAGTTAACAAATAGAACCTTATTGCAAAAATTGTAAAGTAAAAATAAATAATAATAATAATAATAATATTAAAAATAAGAATGTTATATTTTAAGAGTGCATTAGTGCCTGCCCACTCTGTCAGCGATGTTGCTTCTGGAATTATCTTTTTTTACAAAGGTTAAATACTGTTTTCCTTTGTTTACCTGTTTACTGCTACAGTCCCATGAAGCTTTGTGAATGGCATAATCAAATGAAAAGGAATGGTGAAATAAAGAACTTTTCATTTCGTATCAATAGAAAGGATATTTTGGCAATATATTGGGGAGAAAAAAAAACTATTGCAAAATATGCTCTCTATGAAGAAAATTAGTTTTGTCTTCCGGAACCAGACTGATACACACAATAATACCTTTATTTATTAATTTATGTAATCTATTTTTATTATTATTCATTTGACTCTAAAACTACCCTGCCAATATTTATTTAAATGTGTGCTAAATTCACATATATCCTTGAATGTGTTTGTTTTTTGTCTATTTTCTTTAGTATTTTTGTTCCCCTGTAGGGATTGTAACAATTTTATTTTATAATGTTACATCTACTAATTACCCCATAATGGCACAAGGTTTAGTGTCCTTTTTATAACTTCACAGCAATAACTTCAGATGCTTTACCAGGGTTACATAACAAGCATGGAGACCCACGCTGTGTTTTTCAGATTTGTCCCGCAGGCTTCCCATCGCCAAGATCACTCACCTCTGGCTCTCCTGCTGTGAAACACCCCATAATTGTGCTTCTTTAGACAGCCTGGAAATCACTGAAATGCAGAAAAGCAATGCAATCTTACCGCTGGGACGTCAACGAGCATCCCTATAACAATACTGAATATTTAATGGCTGCCAAAAAACAAGTTTCTACCAATCCGACGGTGTCCTAGATTCACCCGTCATCTAACACTTTTCCTCTTCTTCCATCCAGAGCAGTAAAGAGGCGCTATCTGACGTCAACGCCACCGGCGTGGCCATGCTGTTTTCCGCCGGCACCTTCCTGTACGTAGCCACGGTGCACGTCCTCCCGGAAGTGGGCGGCATGGGCGGCCACAGCCACTCGCCCGGAGGCAGCGCAGGGAAGGGCCTGAGCAAAGTGGAGGTTGGAGCTCTGGTTCTAGGCTGTCTGATACCTCTGGTGCTGTCCATCGGCCACCAGCACTAGTGTTCTTCACTTGAAGCAACACTGAAGAAGGTCTGAAAAGTGTAAACGGGACTTTGAACAGAATTGGCCGCAGATGTGGTTTGAATCATGCCTCTGTCGGTTTATTCAAGTTGACGGTTGGAGTGAACGCAGGAACATTGCAGTCGGGATCAAGATTTGAGAAGCGCCTATGGACTTCTGGAATGGGCTGCCCTGTCCCTTCATAAAGCCCTGTGGGCTGACGGCTTACGATGACCATACACAAATAAATGCAATCATGTGTCCACCTCTTAATTTTGTTTTCTTCAGTGGTGCTGGTTTAAAAAGATGCGGTTGTCATGTATGCTTTAAATTTGGTATTTTATTGGTTTTTATATGAAATTTGTCCATGAATCTTTTAAAAGATGAACCAACACCATTTAACACCATGTGCCCATTTACAATGATGATAAATGTTTAGATGCTTTACAAACATTAAATGTATTGAGTTTGTTGTCCCTCTTTTTCTACAGTATTGATTAGTTGTTTTAAACTTTGATTAAATTTCACCTTGCCTAGCTAGTTAGCTAAAACACTAGAACATTTCCATGTTTTCTTTGTTTTTACTCCCTTGATATGTTTATGTATATATATATTATTAAATGACACTTGAAAAATGGGTTGTCCAAAGTCTTGCAGGTGGACATTTTTCTGTTGAGTTCAGTGCATGTACAGCTTTATTATTTGACTTACCAACCATTTTTCAAACCTGACTGGTTGTTTAATCATGAAAAAAAGCATCTGATTGGTTATTCAGGTGTTTTGTACTGTGATGCCTGCTCCGAGCAGAGACTGTGTACTGTAAATATGTATTCTCTGTATAAATGACAAACAAAAATACCCTGTTTGACATCCTGGTTGACACCCCGAGGAGTTTTTAAGTCTGGGAAAGAAAGATTGTTTTTGAAATGAATGATTATTGACACTTCCATTTTTATTTGGGACTTATTCTTTGAGAATTTGAGGTCAGTTGGAAAGATATATATATATATATGGTGGATTTCTGCTTTGGTCAGCTGAAGGTTTTAGATCTGCGAACGGGAAAGCTGCGGTGTTCATCACCAAGTTACTTAATGGTTGCCTCTTGCCAACTTGGGACACCAGCAACATCCTATGATCCTGGTTTACAAACTGTCTTGCTCTGAAAAATGACCGTCATAGTCTATTTGAAAGATGTGTTAGTGCTTTTAGCTCTCTAGTGCCCTCATCTTACCGTAGTGCACAAGTGCAGCATCAACCTCAAACTGTGGAAGAAACACTGATGAGAGACTTCATGCTGATTTGTGGATAATTATTATTTTATGACACCTTTTAAAGGGAAAACTAGATAAACTTAGCCTCATTCGAATACTACGACATGACCTCCCAGAAACTTGGGACAGATATATAATGGAATTAAATTTTGTGCCATAAGGACTTATTTCTGCTCGTACAGCTCAGAGATTTTTACAATGTGGCGAGATGTGATGAATTCATGATGAATTGAGTTTTGGGCTTTTATGTGATCATTCCACAAGAGGAGTATGCCTTATTTTTCTCACAGTTGTTAAAATGGTTTCACAATTCTTTGTTCATGATTTGAATAAACTTTTATTTTTTTAATGGATGCAGATCTATGGATGCTTACTATGTACCTTATTTTGCCTGTCTAATGACATTTGGAATTGCATTGAGAAATATTTTCACATGTGATTTAATGAAGCAAATAAATGGTAAATGGAAAAATATGAGTTATTGTCCAGTAATAAAGAAATAAACAGGCACATCTTTGGATATTGGCAGCAATCGGGAACATTAATCTACTTTTTTTTTAACACTTTCAATGTTTACAGTTATGTCACATTGTAGGCCAAACAGAATATGATTACATCAACGTTTTGATTATTATGACTATTATTTTACATATTTAATAATAGACACTTAAACATTGAAATTCTTCATACAAATATTTGTATATTAAAGATATAGTAATCCAAATACAGAGAAATAAATATGAATCATTTCAATATTTATGTGAAAATAATTATAGATTTTTACACAAATTACAGCTCTCAGTCATGCCTGTGCTGAAGTATCTTTTCCACCACATACAACAGTTTTTACCCTAATAACGTTTTATCGAACGTTAGCATGCTTAATAACAAGATAACATCGTAAATGAAGATCATGTTTGAAAAGAGGGATGAGATGTGATGTATGAAGAAACTAAAGAAATATTGCATCCTTCGTCATTTCAAATTAAGCTCTTTCAATACATACTGTACTATGCAAATAGCCTTTAGTCTATGTGTAAAGTTACAGATGAAGTGTTATTAAATATAAATCCACTGGATCTAGAAGCTGTGTTAAGTGTCTATCCCTGATCCATTAGCAAACTACACACTCGTAAATGATACCATATACAAATTACAGCTCTCAGTCATGCCTGTGCTGAAGTATCTTTTCCACCACATACAACAGTTTTTACCCTAATAACGTTTTATCGAACGTTAGCATGCTTAATAACAAGATAACATCGTAAATGAAGATCATGTTTGAAAAGAGGGATGAGATGTGATGTATGAAGAAACTAAAGAAATATTGCATCCTTCGTCATTTCAAATTAAGCTCTTTCAATACATACTGTACTATGCAAATAGCCTTTAGTCTATGTGTAAAGTTACAGATGAAGTGTTATTAAATATAAATCCACTGGATCTAGAAGCTGTGTTAAGTGTCTAGAGTACATAATCCCTGATCCATTAGCAAACTACACACTCGTAAATGATACCATACGTTCAATGATAAGACAAATCACTGTAAACATGGCAGATTTACAAGCATATAGATCCAAAACGTGTTTGGTGAAGTTGTTTGGACAGGAATACATCTGTAATCCAAACACTTACGCACACAACAGCACCAAATGGCTCTTTAGCAGATTAATCTGTCAGTAAAATTGGACAGATTGCTCTTTTATGTAAGAACAACATCTAAAATCTATTTTCCCCACCTGTCTAATATATATTTGGTTAGTATAGTCACTTTTGTCCCTGTGGACACATTTTCAGGAATGAAATGTCTTACTCGTTTGTTTTAAGACTATTTAAAATAATAAAACACAATTTGTACAATACATTTACAATTAAAAAACAATAATGTTTTGATAAATTTTGCATTTTGTCAGAATTAGAGCTTGATTGAAAACAACACATTTCTTCACACATCACATCGCATACTTTATATTAAGTATGATCTTTACTGATACTGCTGTCACGAAATACAATAACTTTTGATAAAACTTGATTAGGGGCACAATCTGTTATTTGTAGTGGCACACAAGTTTAGTTTAGTTTGGTTATTTTTAAAGCACTTTTAAAACAGCCTAGAGACTGGCCAAAGTGCTGTACATGAGCAAAGTAATAAGTTCAATATAAAAAATAATCAAAATGAACATGAGCAGAATACACAAATACTACATTTAAAACAGAAACAAAAATCAGCAATTAACACATGTTGATGGCTAAGGAGAACAAATGAGTTTTAAGAAGAGATTTAAAAACTGGTGAAGAGGGGGCCATTCTAAGTTGTACTGGCAAGCTATTCCACAGTCGAGGACCTAACACCGAATAAGCTCGATCCCCTCTGCGTTTAACTTTGAACAAGCGATTGTCAATAAGTTAAGGTTACAGAACTGGTCATACTGAGCATAAAGAATTGTATGCTCTGTATATGCTAAGCTATAAGGAAGCTATCACTATGGCTAAATCTGAATTTTAAATTTTTTACATTTACAATTTATTTGGCGCAAGTGAAGGGAATACTAAGCTTTTCTCTACTGTTAATAAACTTATGCAGTTTACTAAATCTCTACCATCACACTTATGTAATGTAATTCTTTTATGGATTATTGTAATACAAAAATTAGAAGTATTCATAAAGAAATACCTGCATATAATGTTAGCTGCGGCTGTTTAGATCCCTTCTTTCCTAAACTTTCTCAGTCCACTTTCTCTAACTTTAGTCTATACTGTTGATGAGGTAACCTTCACCATTCAGATCTCTAAATCCACTACCTGTCAGCTGGATCCTCTTTCAACATACTTATCTTCTCTGTCCTCTTTAATTACTGACATTTTTCATTCTTCACTGTCTTCTGGTTTTGTTCCTTTATCACTTAAAACTGCTATAATAACCCCTATACTTAAAAAACCAGGAGCAGATCCAACTAATTTTGACAATGTTCGTCCTATTTCAAATTTACCATTTATTTCCCATTTACCATACGTTCAATGATAAGACAAATCACTGTAAACATGGCAGATTTACAAGCATATAGATCCAAAACGTGTTTGGTGAAGTTGTTTGGACAGGAATACATCTGTAATCCAAACACTTACGCACACAACAGCACCAAATGGCTCTTTAGCAGATTAATCTGTCAGTAAAATTGGACAGATTGCTCTTTTATGTAAGAACAACATCTAAAATCTATTTTCCCCACCTGTCTAATATATATTTGGTTAGTATAGTCACTTTTGTCCCTGTGGACACATTTTCAGGAATGAAATGTCTTACTCGTTTGTTTTAAGACTATTTAAAATAATAAAATACAATTTGTACAATACATTTACAATTAAAAAACAATAATGTTTTGATACATTTTACATTTTGTCAGAATTAGAGCTTGATTGAAAACAACACATTTCTTCACACATCACATCGCATACTTTATATTAAGTATGATCTTTACTGATACTGCTGTCACCAAATACAATAACTTTTGATAAAACTTTATTAGGGGCACAATCTGTTATTTGTAGTGGCACACAAGTTTAGTTTAGTTTGGTTATTTTTAAAGCACTTTTAAAACAGCCTAGAGACTGGCCAAAGTGCTGTACATGAGCAAAGTAATAAGTTCAATATAAAAAATAATCAAAATGAACATGAGCAGAATACACAAATACTACATTTAAAACAGAAACAAAAATCAGCAATTAACACATGTTGATGGCTAAGGAGAACAAATGAGTTTTAAGAAGAGATTTAAAAACTGGTGAAGAGGGGGCCATTCTAAGTTGTACTGGCAAGCTATTCCACAGTCGAGGACCTAACACCGAATAAGCTCGATCCCCTCTGCGTTTAACTTTGAACAAGCGATTGTCAATAAGTTAAGGTTACAGAACTGGTCATACTGAGCATAAAGAATTGTATGCTCTGTATATGCTAAGCTATAAGGAAGCTATCACTATGGCTAAATCTGAATTTTAAATTTTTTACATTTACAATTTATTTGGCGCAAGTGAAGGGAATACTAAGCTTTTCTCTACTGTTAATAAACTTATGCAGTTTACTAAATCTCTACCATCACACTTGTATTCTACTACTGTATGTAATTCTTTTATGGATTATTGTAATACAAAAATTTGAAGTATTCATAAAGAAATACTTGCATATAATGTTAGCTGCGGCTGTTTAGATCCCTTCTTTCCTAAACTTTCTCAGTCCACTTTCTCTAACTTTAGTCTATACTGTTGATGAGGTAACCTTCACCATTCAGATCTCTAAATCCACTACCTGTCAGCTGGATCCTCTTCCAAGATACTTATCTTCTCTGTCCTCTTTAATTACTGACATTTTTCATTCTTCACTGTCTTCTGGTTTTGTTCCTTTATCACTTAAAACTGCTATAATAACCCCTATACTTAAAAAACCAGGAGCAGATCCAACTAATTTTGACAATGTTCGTCCTATTTCAAATTTACCATTTATTTCCCATTTATTTCCATTTATTTCAAATGATCTTTCTGGCAATAATTTGTTTGAAAAAAATTGTATGCTCTGTATATGCTAAGCTATAAGGAAGCTATCACTATGGCTAAATCTGAATTTTAAATTTTTTACATTTACAATTTATTTGGCGCAAGTGAAGGGAATACTAAGCTTTTCTCTACTGTTAATAAACTTATGCAGTTTACTAAATCTCTACCATCACACTTATGTAATGTAATTCTTTTATGGATTATTGTAATACAAAAATTAGAAGTATTCATAAAGAAATACCTGCATATAATGTTAGCTGCGGCTGTTTAGATCCCTTCTTTCCTAAACTTTCTCAGTCCACTTTCTCTAACTTTAGTCTATACTGTTGATGAGGTAACCTTCACCATTCAGATCTCTAAATCCACTACCTGTCAGCTGGATCCTCTTTCAACATACTTATCTTCTCTGTCCTCTTTAATTACTGACATTTTTCATTCTTCACTGTCTTCTGGTTTTGTTCCTTATCACTTAAAACTGCTATAATAACCCCTATACTTAAAAAACCAGGAGCAGATCCAACTAATTTTGACAATGTTCGTCCTATTTCAAATTTACCATTTATTTCCCATTTATTTCCATTTATTTCAAATGATCTTTCTGGCAATAATTTGTTTGAAAAATTTCAATCTGGCTTCCGTCCACTTAATACGGAGACGGCACTTGTTAAAATCACTAATGATTTGCTTATGGCAGCGGACTCTGGACAGCTGACTATACTTATTTTACTCGATCTGAGTGCTGCATTTGATACAATCTTACAAAAGATCCTCTTAGACAGGCTTGTCTCCCTGGGATTTACAGGCACCTGTCTGTCTTGGTTTCGATCATATCTTTCTGGTCGCACTCAGTTACTTAAAAACAACAGTTACTTACAACTTAAAAACTTCACTTCAGATCTGAGTTATTGCATGCCACTGATAGTGTTCCCCAAGGCTCAGTCCTGTGGCCTCTTCTATTCATTATTTATTTACTGACCCTTGGACACATTTTTAGGAAGTTTGGAATTTATTTCCATTGCTATGCTGACAACACCCTGCTCTATATGTCTTCCATGCCTAATTCGGTATTTCCTCTCTGGACAGCTGACTATACTTATTTTACTCGATCTGAGTGCTGCATTTGATACAATCTTACAAAAGATCCTCTTAGACAGGCTTGTCTCCCTGGGATTTACAGGCACCTGTCTGTCTTGGTTTCGATCATATCTTTCTGGTCGCACTCAGTTTGTACAACTTAAAAACTTCACTTCAGATCTGAGTTATTGCATGCCACTGATAGTGTTCCCCAAGGCTCAGTCCTGTGGCCTCTTCTATTCATTATTTATTTACTGCCCCTTGGACACATTTTTAGGAAGTTTGGAATTTATTTCCATTGCTATGCTGACAACACCCTGCTCTATATGTCTTCCATGCCTAATTCGGTATTTCCCCCTCCTTCTCTGTTGAGCTGTTTAGCTGAAATACAAAACTGGTTTTCATCTGATTTCCTTAAACTTAATAGTGATAAAACTGAAATTCTTCTTGTAGGTACAAAGTCTAATTTGGTAAAATCTGGTAATTTTTCTGTGACTATTGGTAAGTCAACAGTTTTTCCATCCTCTCAGGTAAAGAATCTGAGTGTTGTCCTCGATAGCAACTTATCTTTTGAAAACCATATTAATAATTTTATTCATTCGGCCAACTTTCATACATAAAGCATCTTCTTCCATTTTTGACAGCACTACTACTCTTGTACATGCTTTGGTTACATCACGTATTGATCACTGCAACTCTATTCTATATGGTCTTCCTTCGAAAGCCTTACATAAACTACAGCTGGTCCAGAATTCAGCTGCACAAATTATTTCTTGAACTCCTTTCATAGAGCACATTTCTCCCGTTCTTACACTGTCTTAAATATCGAATTGATTTCAAAATCCTGCTTCTTACGTATAAGGCCCTTAATAATTTAGCTCCATTATATCTCACTGATCTTCTTCAAATTTTACATAAAGCATCTTCTTCCATTTTTGACAGCACTACTACTCTTGTACATGCTTTGGTTACATCACGTATTGATCACAGCAACTCTATTCTATATGGTCTTCCTTCGAAAGCCTTACATAAACTACAGCTGGTCCAGAATTCAGCTGCACAAATTATTTCTTGAACTCCTTTCATAGAGCACATTTCTCCCGTTCTTACACTGGCTTAAATATCGAATTGATTTCAAAATCCTGCTTCTTACGTATAAGGCCCTTAATAATTTAGCTCCATTATATCTCACTGATCTTCTTCAAATTCGCACTCCTGTACGTACTCTTAGATCTTCTTCAATCTCTCTAGTTCAACCACGTGTCCGTCTGAGAAGTATGGGGTCCAGGGCTTTTAATTATGCTGCCCTTCACTTGTGGGATGCCCTTCCCCAGGACATTTGTAACAGTGACAGTCTTCACACTTTTGAATCATGTCTTAAAACTCATTTATTTAAGCAGGCATATCAATGATTGTATGTGTTGATTAGTTAGTTTTATTTTTAGAGTTTTATTGTATTTTTATTGTCTGTCTGGTTTGATGTTGTTGTTGATCGATGATGTTATAGGGATATTTGTAAAAATGAATGAATGAAAAAAATAATAATAATAAATACACAAATAGAAGAATTTTGAAGTCAATCCTGAAGTGGACTGGAAGCCAATGAAGAGCTCGCAAAACGGGGGTGGCATGGTCATTTTTGTGACCATTTCTAAGACATTTAGCTGCAGCATTTTGAACCAGTTGAAGTCGAGCTACCTGAGGCATGGATATACCGTAAAAAAAGAGAATTGCAATAATCCAAACATGAAGTTGTAAAAGCATGGATAACTGTCTCAAGAGACTTTTCAGACAGAAAATGTTTTATTTTAGAAAGTGAACAAAGCTGGAAAAAACTAGAGGCAAGGATACATGTGTATCTAATGTTAGCCGACTATCAATGAGAACACCCAGGTTACATACACAACTTGAATTAAAAACAGACAGATTGCCCAGAGCTGAATTATTAAACTCCGATTTATCAGATGGACCAAAAATTATAATCTCAGTCTTAGAGTCATTTAGAGTTAAACAATTTGTTGGATAGCCAAAGTTTGACATTGTCGATTAATCGCATTCAAAATAAACGTTTTTGTTTACATAATATATGTGTGTGTGTTGTGTATATTTTTATGTATGTAAAAACACATGCAGTATATATATATATATGAAAATATTTACATGTATATATTTATATAATTCATATTATAAATTAATATATTAAATATATAACATATTTTTCTTAAATATATACATGCATCTGTGTATTTATACAGTGTATACATAATAAACAGTACACACATATATATTATGTAAACAAAAATGTTCTGATTAACCATGATTAACCGTTTGACAGCATTAATTCACATATTTATTTATTTATTAATTTATTTATGTCGATGAATTTTCATTTCAATTCATTTTACTGTAAGATAGCAAGCCTGTGTCTGGGACGTAGGTAAAATGATAAAAGTCTACACATAAAATGAATTCAATAAATGATAAAGGCATGGCAAAAGTTTTCAGAAACACTGTTTCTATAGTTGCCTCTCTACAATTTCTGTAGTAGTAATTTGTTAGTTTAAAAAAAAAATCAATTTAATTTACATCTTCAATAGTTAAAGAAACATGGATGGATGGATGGATGAATGGATAGATAGATCCAACGTCATAAGTGATGTAATCTGCAAAGTAATAGCTTTTCTCTTCAAAATATTGCATTGACGTATCTCAGATTTATGTTTTATTTTAGAAAGTGAACAAAGCTGGAAAAAACTAGAGGCAAGGATACATGTGTATCTAATGTTAGCCGACTATCAATGAGAACACCCAGGTTACATACACAACTTGAATTAAAAACAGACAGATTGCCCAGAGCTGAATTATTAAACTCCGATTTATCAGATGGACCAAAAATTATAATCTCAGTCTTAGAGTCATTTAGAGTTAAACAATTTGTTGGATAGCCAAAGTTTGACATTGTCGATTAATCGCATTCAAAATAAACGTTTTTGTTTACATAATATATGTGTGTGTGTTGTGTATATTTTTATGTATGTAAAAACACATGCAGTATATATATATATATGAAAATATTTACATGTATATATTTATATAATTCATATTATAAATTAATATATTAAATATATAACATATTTTTCTTAAATATATACATGCATCTGTGTATTTATACAGTGTATACATAATAAACAGTACACACATATATATTATGTAAACAAAAATGTTCTGATTAACCATGATTAACCGTTTGACAGCATTAATTCACATATTTATTTATTTATTAATTTATTTATGTCGATGAATTTTCATTTCAATTCATTTTACTGTAAGATAGCAAGCCTGTGTCTGGGACGTAGGTAAAATGATAAAAGTCTACACATAAAATGAATTCAATAAATGATAAAGGCATGGCAAATGTTTTCAGAAACACTGTTTCTATAGTTGCCTCTCTACAATTTCTGTAGTAGTAATTTGTTAGTTTAAAAAAAAAAATCAATTTAATTTACATCTTCAATAGTTAAAGAAACATGGATGGATGGATGAATGGATAGATAGATCCAACGTCATAAGTGATGTAATCTGCAAAGTAATAGCTTTTCTCTTCAAAATATTGCATTGACGTATCTCAGATTTAAAAAAAAAAACACCCTTTCCCAAAACCTCTTCCCTAACCCGCTTGCATCCATTCCTCCTTCCCTCTCTGACTCTGTTTCCACATCCAATACCAGCTGACGTCACTATTGGCAGATGCATCATTCCACATCACTGAATAACTGGAGGAGATCATCACAAGCTCTGTCTGTTTGAATGCATCTCTATAGGATTATTGGCGAGTGTACATGCTACTATTTTAACTTTATTGACTTTTTTTTTTACCACACCTCCTCCTCTCGTACTTCCTGTGAAAGAGTCAGCTATGTTCTCCTCGTCCAAACCCTCCCTACTTTTGCCCTGGACCTCCATGGATCAAGCTGACTCGGACGCTTTGGATATCAGCACTAAAGTGCAACTGCATGGGGTTCTGTGGAAGAGACCTTTCGGGAGGCCCTCAGCCAAGTGGTCCCGCAGGTAATATTGGGCCCTAACTACGCACAGTCGGTAACAAAAATAAAAGCATATGTACGATTCTTCTATTAGGAGGATCTTTTCAGTTATTGTATTTTAGTTTGCGGTTTTCCATTATGTTGTAATTTCCCTGCAGAGATATACAATGTATTTATTTGTTTTTGTTGTTCTGGTCAGTAATGAAGTGGCATGAAATAAATAATGTTATAGACTAGATACAGTGAGGCTAAAGAACAAGCTGCGGTATTATTAGTATTTTTGCTCAGTTCAAGCACACATTTTTTTGTGTAGTGCCTTGTTGTGTAATGCACTTTAAAAGCTTTATAGCTTAGCTGATATTGAGTAACCCGTCATTATAAACTGAACTGATGTGTTTTAAATGTGCCTTTAAAGCTGAGTAAGTCAGATCCATGAGGACATTCTGTGCCGCCGGTGAGTTTTTGTACATTAGGACTCATCAATTCCAGGACAGATCAATTCCAGGGAAATGAACGCGGAAATTGATGGTTATTTGGTCATTTATGAATTTGTGAAGGAAGCAGCGAAGGGTTTTCATGTAGTGCTTATCTAATGGTCAGAATGTGCAGTGTTAGCTGTGAGGTTATTAGTGAATTTCTTGTTGCTGTTTACGCTTTCATAACAGATTCTTCATCATCAAGGATAGTTTTCTTTTGTATTATGCTGAGAACGAGAAAAAAAGCTTTGAGACCAATAGATACTTCAACATTCACCCCAAGGTACACAGACATTTACATTTCTTAGAGTTGCACATTATTATTATTAACATTAACTGTGACTACACTGTAAACAGATTACTGTGAAATGTACAGTAATAATGCTGTGAAAACTACAGAAATCTGTTACAGTGTATTGAAATAGTAGTGAATATATATTTAATTGTATAATTATATACTTAAGCAATATCATGCAAGCAAGATGTGCAGCTGTTGTTGTACTGAATATTAGCACAGCTGTGTGATGACTGCTCACATTTAAATATAACCAAGCAATTAGATACTGAGTAATGTAAGCAAAACATGTCCAATGTGTTCAAGTGTACGTTTTTACTGAGCATGAAATGTATTCTATCTTTTGCTCAATGTAAGGGGGTGATTCCATTAGCTGGATGCATCGTCGAGCCAAGAGAAGATCAAGGCATGCCATTTGCCATGGTTATCAACCATGAAGACTTCACAGTAAAAGCATTTTCTTCTTTTGTACTTTATTCTATTCTGTTCTATTCTATTTTTTTGGAAACCAATTCACCACAATCAACTGGGTTTCCAAAGCTATATCAGAAAGGGGTAGGATGAACAAATTCAATGAAGTTATTGCCCTTTTTTTCTTTCTTTTTTAAGTAATAAAATAAAATAAAATAAAATAAAATAAAATAAAATAAAATACAACCATGAAGACTTCACAGTAAAAGCATTTTCTTCTTTTGTACTTTATTCTATTCTGTTCTATTCTATTTTTTTGGAAACCAATTCACCACAATCAACTGGGTTTCCAAAGCTATATCAGAAAGGGGTAGGATGAACAAATTCAATGAAGTTATTGCCCTTTTTTTCTTTCTTTTTTAAGTAATAAAATAAAATAAAATAAAATAAAATAAAATAAAATAAAATAAAATAAAATAAAATAAAATAAAATAAAATAAAATAAAATAAAATTAAATTAAATTAAATTAAATTAAATTAAATTAAATTATTAAATTAAATTTTAATGAATATCTTTCTGCTTATCCTGTATAGGGAAACATTGTCCTGGCTGCTGAATCAGAGCCAGAGCAGAGCCAATGGGTGGAGATGCTACAAGAGTCAGGAAAAGTGTGAGTGTACTTCTAATAACATCTCTGAAAAAAAAAAGATGAAAGTAATCAAAGCTTCTCTTGTAAAACCACAAGCATGGTTTAAAACAATTCCACATTTAAGATTTAATTCCAGCATTTTTAATATGTAACATATTATGTCTGACATTAGTGTTATTTTTGTGTGGTGATGTGAAACTCTTTTTTTTCATTAAAGCACTTGGAAGAATGCTCAGTTGGGTGAGGCTATGATTGAGAGTCTTGAAGCTCAGGGGCTACAGTTGGCTAAAGAAAAGCAGGAATACTTGGGTATGGCCACATCTTTTTCTTTTCTTCTTTTAGCCAAATGTTTTCCTTCTTTTGTTATAATGAAGTTCTGGCTTGTTATTATCCATGAGGTGAAAAAAATGATCCATAACAAAAGTCTGACTCTGTCTCTTCAGGAGTTATCCCAAGAGAAAAAGCGTACCCTCGAGCTGCTGCGAGAAAGAGGACAGGATGTGGCTGAAACAGGAAGTGATCGGCGGGCATCTTTAGACTCTCAGAATCCAGAGGTGCAGCTTCAGGGCAACCTGCGGCAAATCGAGGAGCAGATGAAGAGCATGCTTAAAGAGAAAGAACAGGCAGAAGAAAGGTCAGAAAATCTGGTCAAGAAAAATGTTTCATTACAAAATATATAATTTCCAAACAAATGAACAAAGATTTGAAATGTAGCAACATTATTGTTTGGCCAGAAAGTGCATTAGAATAAATGGACTGTCGAGACCATGACAATGGAAATGTACATTGATCCCTAAACAAGCCAGTCTATTGATTAGATGTGAATGAAGCACAAAAGACAGAGAGTGGATTGACTAGCGGGCATGAGAGACCTCAAAAGCAGGATATAAATAAATGTGACTCTGCCGTATGGTCCATTACGCGCGATACAACAAATCTGATAAGATGGAATTGATTTTTTTACTTAGCCAAAAAAATTGTAGTGTCATTTCTGTTTACTGCTGCATACTCTTTGAAAAATGTGAGGTTAACTGAATATATGATTAAATATTTACAAAAAAAAAATCCGTAAAATTTTTGGGAGCTGTGGTTGCCGGACTTTTACCGGAAAAAAATATGGTAGCAATGTTTTAGGTTTTACAGTTTTAACTTAAATTTACAGTTAAATACCGTAATTTCATTAACTGTTATAATGTTAATACACCAACCTATTGAAGTACTGAAATCTGTTTTGTACCTTTGTAATACACTGATAACCACCAAATGCAGGTGGTGATGAGAAAGTCACATGATGAACCAAAGCCCATCACAGCTTTTAAATAATAACATATACAGAAGGTGCACAGTGTCATTCACACAAACACCAAACACCATCATGGTAACACACATGAAACTGAAATAATGCAATAAACCTTCATTTAACAACATTAGGTGTAACACACAACCCTAATATACAAAACTGATAAGAAAAAAACTAAGAAGAAACATAGTTATTTCAACAAAAAAACATCAAATTTTATATGTAATGCAAGGAATTCTGGGAATGTCAATTTACGGTTATTCACTGTAAATTATACGGTCTTTTTCACTTCCAAAAACAGCATTCTACCGTAAAATTCATGTCCAATATATGTAATGTCTAATACAGTTTTTCACCGTATATAGTAGGGGAATTTACCGTTAACCATTTAACAGGTTTTTACTGTAGCATTTTTACAGTCTTTTACCATTAAATTTAAATTTTTTTCAGTGTAGGCTACTCCTTATTCTGCAAAATATATTGTAGTATTTACACTGCACATAGGAAATGATTATACATACAATATATATATATATATATATATATATACAACAGTTCGTTCTGGTTCTCAAATCTGATTGGTTGAGAACCATGAGATATTGTACTGGTATCGCTACAGGAACGCCCTTTCACAATTTTGTATCACTCCGCTTGTTCTAGTCGGGTCTATGTTTTTTTTTTAATTATTCACTGAGCTAATCGTAGAGTAGGTTAGTTAATATAAGAAGAAACGTCTAGCTTCGCGGTCTCTTTCTCTCTCATTTGAATGCATGTCTTGCCGCATTGTTTCTCTCTTATAACCTCATTATTTCTCACTAATAACCTAACTGAAGCAGCACATGCCCTTGATACGAATTCTAAAAGTGACGCATGTTTAACTGTCAACTTGAGCTTTGAATCTGTGGCGGAAGGAAGTAGTTCCGCACAAAAGAGGGTTTTATTAGGCACTCCGTTGTTTATTGTTTAATTACACACATGTTCCGTCGAACTGCCATGACTTGCCACTATTGCCAACATGTTCCGTATGCAATAGAGAACATTTCACATGTATCCCATAATACAATGCACTTGACCTTCCATTACAAATTAAACTGAGGTAATATCTCTTTCTTGATAAACCTGATAAGATGGCATTGATTTTTTTACTTAGCCAAAAATATTGTAGTGTTATTTCTGTTGACTGCTGCATACTCTTTAAAAAATGTGAGGTTAACTGAATATATGATTAAATATATACACTGTAAAAAAAAAATCGTAAAATTTACGGTAAAAAAACGACAGCTGTGGTTGCCAGAATTTTACCGTAAAAAAAATCTAAAAGTGACGCATGTTTAACTGTCAACTTGAGCTTTGAATCCGTGGCGGAAGGAAGTAGTTCCGCACAAAAGAGGGTTTTATTAGGCACTCCGTTGTTTATTGTTTAATTACACACATGTTCTGTCGAACTGTTGTATAAATGCAATATCACTCTCGTACTTGAGCGATACCGGTTCTATATCAGCGGCTGTGATTGCCTGCGGCCTTGTGCCTCTGGCCTAATCACAGCCATGCTGATATAGAGCCGGTATAGCTCTCGTAGTTGAGTGATATTGCTCATCTATATATACAGTGGGTACGGAAAGTATTCAGACCCCCTTAAATTTTTCACTCTTATTTTTCTGTCAATATGGGGTGCTGTGTGTACATTAATGAGGAAAAAAAATTAACTGAAATGATTTTAGCAAATGGCTGCAATATCACAAAGAGTGAAAAATTTAAGGGGGTCTGAATACTTTCCGTACCCACTGTATATATATATATATATATATATATGACTTGCCACTATTGCCAACATGTTCCGTATGCAATAGAGAACATTTCACATGTATCCCATAATACAATGCACTTGACCTTCCATTACAAATTAAACTGACGCAATATCTCTTTCTTATCCCCGGAGTGCCAAAACTTTTTTTTTCGTAAACATAAAATTTTATAAACATATTGTATTCAAAATGGAAAATAACGGGCCAGCAAACGTTTCACTCAAAACATGACCTTCTTCAGGGCCATACTATATTTTAAAATGCATACTGAGTACTGTTTCAAATATTTAAAAAATATGTAGTATTTTGTAAATACTGTGTAGTATGCAGCAATTTGTACAATTTGTATAAATATTAATTAATTAATTAATAAAAAAATGAACAAACAAACAAATAGATTATGTTTTTTTTTAAGCAAATGTAGTTATAATTCATGTACAGGTCAGAAGGCTAATAGCAATTATATATAAATTATTTTGTACTTTTACACAGAAAACAGTGAGCAGAGAACAATCCTCTGCAAATATTGCATCCTTGGCATCTTACAAACTACACTCCAGTGCTCTCTTTCCTACAGCTTGGTTTTGATGTCAGTCAGCCAGACTTCTCTCTGTCGCACCCTGCAGGCTGAAAGAGAATGAAAAGCGAGCCAAAGTTCTGCAGGAGGAGAGGGAGTTTTATTCTTCTCAAGCTCAAGCTCTCCAGCAGTCGCTCACACAGCTCACAGTAGACAAACAGCACACAGAGGAAGAGCTGAAGGTGAAAACTACTAAGAAGGGGGGACTTTCTGTAAATCTGGTTGTGGAACATTGCAAAAATTCCCACTATTCTTTTCAGGGTGCTATGATATTTGTGCTTTGGATCTAGCATACAGTGTTACATATTAGATACACAATTAGGTTAAATATATATCACACTACCTCTTCTGCATCTCTGGATCATCTGCACATCTACTATCACTTCTCACTGATATAAAAATCAATTGAAATTCTATAAAAGCCCATGCCTGTCTCCTCCTTCATACCTCACTTCTAAAATGAATCTCCCTTATACTCTGTCTTCATAATATACATTATATGTTGTGTTGTGTGTGTGTGTGTCTGTGTGTGTGTGTGTGTGTGTGTGTGTGTGTGCATGTAACAGGCAGAGATGGAGTCTCGTGTAGAACTGGAGCGTAGGCTGAAATTGGCTGAGGAGGCTCTGCAAGATCTAGAGCAGGGTCTAAATGCAATAGAACGCACCCATGAGAGGGATGAAAGAATGAAAGGAGACGTCAGCCATCTCCGCAGTAAGTGCATTCCATTAGCCATGTCCTACTGTTGAGAAGACGATTTTTGCTATCATGGTCATATTAAAGAGTCGGTTCACCCAAAAATTTATATTTTTTTAATGAAACCTGTGAGGTTTCTGTCCAGGTAACCAAAACTTAGAAGATCCAAAAATGTTATAAAAGTTACAAAAAACAAATCCATATGAATGGGGCGTTTTAATTTAAGTTTTGTGAAGAAATAGTTTCTGTGTTTACCGTATGTTGATTGAATGTGTGTATGTGTCGATCATAGTTTCAGGTTTCGTTAAAAAAAAAAAAAAATCTTTGTCTAAAAAAAATTGTTTTAACTTTGAAAATGCTAAATTAACAATATTTATTGTTACTTAAAGAGACAGTTAGCCCAAAAATGAAAATCCTTTCATCATTTGCTCACCCTCATGTTGTTCCAAACCTGTCTACGTTTCTTTCTTCTGCTGAACATAAAATAAGATACTGTATATACTTTGAAGAATGTTGGCAACCAAATAGTTGGTGGTAGCCATTGACTTCCATGGTATGAAAAAAGTGAATGGCTACCAGCAACAGTTTGGGAACCAAATATCTTCTTTTGTGTTCAGCAGAAGAAAGAAACAGGTTTGAAACCAACAACTTGAAGTTGAGTTAAATTATGACATGAATTTTATTTTTGGGTGAACTATCCCTTTAATGTTGCATTTCATGCTCAGGCAAACCTAAGAAGTATTCAACACTGTATGCCTAAAATAAATGGACATTACCGTATAAATGCAAACTAAATAAAAAATGTTCCACATCAAGTTGGTCCTCAGGGAAAAGGAAATGAAGTACTAATGTGCATCGCTGTTGGCAAACCTGGTTTGGATGCACTTGACAAAATTAGCATTTCAATTTATTCATTTATTTTTCTTAATTGGAACGAATGCTAAAGGAAAGGCAGCCAACATCCCAGCATGCCTAGGAACTCATTCAGTGCCGTTAAAAAGCCTCCCAGAATGCACGTCATAAAGTATGCTGTAATAATATCCTTACAAATAAGGGGTTTTAAGCATTGACCGATAAGACAATGAACCAGCTTCACAACCACAGAGACTGCAGCTGCATGTTTTTGCTTTATGGTTTCAATAAGCACTCTTTTTGCACTGGTGAGAAAGTTTTCCATTTTGTAAGCCCTTTAAATCCAGTTATCTAAATTATTTTATGATGTTCAAATATCTTGACCAAAATACAGTGGCTTTTTAAAGTTTACTAAATTGCATCCAAACTTAATGTTGTGCGTTGCACCTCCAGAGTTCTTTGAGGAATGTATCTGTGCGGCGGAGATTGAGGCCAAGTTACCGTCCATCATGAAGAACGCAGTGTATCTGCATAAAGCTGCTGCTCGACGCATCAAAAGTTGCCGTATCCAGAGACGGGCCTCCAGACAGCACTGGTGTAAGTGTCCGTGCAGGTGCACGCATGATGAAATTATAACCTAAATAGTACCATTAGTGGTAATTTCATATTCAGCTGACCTGTGCATGTTTGCTGGTGCTCTGAGGAATGTACCATTCTACTATTACCAGAAACAGTACTTTGTGTAGTGATAGTTGATTGTTTTGGGAGTTTGTTTATTTATTTATTTGCTTGTTTATTGTAAACATTCTATAAATATATAAATTACCATTAACCTGTTAACATTTTAAGAAATGATCATGGATCCTATATATATATATATATATATTCTGTATATATTGGGGGGTTAAGCTATGCCTTCAGAAACGTATCATGGTTTTGGAGTTTAATCTGATATTAATTTGACTTATTATTATTTTTTATTTTTTTTTAAATAGAAGATTTCTATTTCAAATAAATGTTGTTCTATTGAACTTTCTATTCATCAAAGAATCCAAAGAAAATGCCATCGTTTCCACAAAAATATTAAGCAGCACAACTGCTTTCGACACTGATAATAAGAAATGTTTCTTGCACAACGAATCAGCATATTAGAATGATTTCTGATAGATCATGCAACACTGAAAATTGGAGTAATGGCTGCTGAAAATACAGTTTTACCAACACAGAAATATATCATATATATATATATATATATATATATATATATATATATATATATATATATATATATATATATGTGTGTGTGTGTGTGTGTGTGTGTGTTTTTCAAATATATTAAAATAAAACAATTTATTATAGTTAAAATAACTTATTTTTTTAAATACTATTAGCTACTGTTTTACTGTATTTTTGATCAAACAAATGCAGCCTTGATAAGCTTATAGTTATACTATAATGAAAGAAAACGAAATATTAAACTATTATAACAATAAAGTTATTTAATTTTTGTTGATGTGTTTAAAATGAAGTAACAGTTGGCATCAGCTATTCATTGTTGTTTCATTGTGTTTACAAATATAATATGATAGACATGAATGCCACATATTTTGTGGAGTGGCCCAAAAGGCTTTAATTTTTGGTTAAATTTACTCAAAATAAATTGACTTTACCTTCTCTTGACCTGTGTGCAGTGAAGCACTCTCAATCATTTGCCTCCTCTCGCGGTGCCTCCTCCAGCAGTCTTGAAGAGTTGAGAGAAACTGCCCGGCGCCTGACTTCAGACAGCTGTTTGAGACAGCGGGCCTACAAGATCATCACCTACCAGAAGACCGTTCAGTCTGAGGACTAACAGTGTTCTGACAGATGGACTGAGAGAGGGGAAGCTGTTTTGTCATCCTGCTCTGTGCTGTGCAACTTCTGGTGAATGTTATCATAATTCAGTAAGGGAAATCTGCACATGCAGTGTGCCATCATACTTTGGGACTGTGTGTCCTTCTTATTGTGTCCATGTAAATGTAAAACACTGTAGAATAATAAAACGATATGAAATGTCTAAATATTTGCTTTTAGTGAGAATAAAATAACTTATCTAACAACACAGCATTTTTTTTAAAGGATTTAATATTTTTACACTCAATAGAGAAAACAGTGCCAGCTCGCTTTTTTATTTTTTATGTTATTTTACCTTGGTTCAGAAAGTTTTTCTCATTTTTCCCATAGGGATTTTTTTTTTTAAGTCTTTGTTAAACAGTTATAAGCCATGCACCAAACCAACCGGCCATGAGGTGAATCACAACATTGCAAACTTTGATTTGAAGCAAAAAAGTATTTGAAAATCAGACAAAAAGACTAGAAGGCTATAGGCCTCAACAACAGCTTTAATGAGGGGAAGAACTACAATCCCATGAAGCATTGCAAATTACATAATCAAATTAACAATGATGGACTTAAAGATTTAAAGAATGGTGGATTAAATATAAACAATATATGTTATATTTATTGCAAAGTACACATATACAAATGTTTATGTAGTTTGAGAGTGTAGGGAGACTGACTCCATTACTCTTCCAAAGGCTTATAAATTATTCTTAAAGGTGCAGTATGTAGGATTGACTCTGAGTGGTTGAACTAGGTATTGCAGTCTAAATTCAAAATATTGGAGAGGGGTTTTTTTCACCCGGCCCCTCCTCCTTGACTTGAGGCCCACGCAGGTTGCCAGATTGAGACACCAACAGGAACGAGCACGCTTGACGATGAATGAAATGAGATATGCTCTGTTTTCCGCAAACTGGAAACCCGGGGTGACGAAATACAATTGGGTAAACTGGCAGGTGGGCGGGTTTCACAAACCAAAACAGAGACCGACATTCCGGCCCGGAACGCACATATTCAAAGGAGAATAACTGACTGTAGCATTGTTTTTCAGATAAACATGTATGTTAACTTAGCATGTTTCTTAAATATCTGCAAACATATTATGGTACGTTTATGCTTTAGTAGAGTCAAAAACATACAGCACCTTTAAAAATCAGTTTTCGAATGGAGAAATTAATGACATTTTTACTTCGGAACTCGACTGTTGCACTCTATGACACAGTTGAGCCAAACTTCTCTATCACAGGACAGAGATCACAGGATTTCAGCTAGAACTGAATTTTGACAAAATATGTAAAGTTAAAAAAAATAATAATAAATACCGTATAATGTAAATGCATATAACATTGTTATGTCCAGAAGCATAAAACAACTAAATAATTCAGATTTTATTTTTTTGTATTTATTTATTTATTTAAATACAGTATGCCATTTTCAAAACTGAATTGTTGGTTCCCAAGTAAAGTATGTCCCTGCATGTCACTTTTTAATAAACTAGTAATAAAGCATCTGTAGCCTACAGAAAACATATTTTCATTAGAATTAACAAAAAAAAATGGTGCTGAGACGAAAATAATTTGATGAGACATACTTTTACACATAAAATGCTACAATCATGTTCATGTCACTGCTGTCAAAGTTCACTGCAGCGAAATTGATATGCAGAAATGGCCATTTTAATGAAACAATCTGTTATTTATTAATATGCAATTAAAACTCGCTTTGTCACTAGCCCTAAGAAGCTGTGTTATGAATTACATTCAGAATCCTTTTTTGTCCATCTTCATGATTATAAGCTTGATTATTATTCAACACGATTCTGCTTCCATTTAAAAAGCCCCTAAATTTAACTCATGAGACAATAATGTATAAAAATGAAATTGTTTCTTTGGGATTTTATGATATTAAAAGTGGTGCTGATGTGCCATCTGGATATGCTGGAATTAAAATCAGTGTTTATTAAACCTTCCAATTATGTCATGCCTAGCTGAGTCACTGCCAGAAAGGGAATAAGGATCGGTGATCAAAGTGAAATTTGCAGTCTCTTGGGGGCTAGTTTTACTGAATCGGGCCACAGATGTCAACATCATCATCTTCTCCACTCCCAAACCTGCGTCAGAAGAGACAAACCAGATAACAGTCAATTATTGCAGAGAAACTTTGCATTTCACTCCGTTATATAAATGATTAAGCTGCAGTATCAGACTTGCTTGCATAACCAATTTGGCATGATTTTGACAGAATATATAAACGTGTTGTGCAGTTATCATGCAATAATTATCTAAAGAGCCTGCACGTAGAGGCATTGAAAAATTTGCTAGCCCTAAAAACGGTTTTTGTCCAGGTTGTTTGACTGCTGTACAGTACAAAAAAGCCTGTGACAGATGGCTACCATTACAAGCATCAGTGTGGGTTAAGCTCTCATAGGAGTTGAAATGCCTACTGCAGTGCTTTTCTCACTGATATCGATGTGAGCTCTCCTCCAATCCTGTCCTCTAGATATGTACCAGCATGACATAGCATTTTTAGTATAATGGGTGTTTTATGAGTAGTGTCCTGTGTCTTATATGTTATATTCCTATGCCTACTCACATTAAAACGTAAATACTAACGTGTTATGTAATATGAACATCCGTACTGGCTTCAGCGTTCTTTCATTATCGTCACACAAGCATTATTTTAATGTGATGATAACGGACATGCATTAAACATTAATGTCCAGGCAATGTTCAAAATGGCAAGCTGTAATACTGCACCGACTATTTCTGTAGTATAGCTAATATGTGTCCTGTGCATAGTATGCATATCCTGCTAACAAAATGTGCAGTATACAAAAAAGGATACTTGGCACACTGTAGCCCACACTGCAATGCACTCCACTTTCTCCATTTGAGTCGTTGTTTTATTAGACTGCCAAAAGTTGACATTTTAACTCAAGACTGAATTTAAAAAAATGATCATTAATCATATTCAGCATACTTAATTGTACTCGCATGCCATGTGTTGAGGTAATGTCATGTTACAATAATGTAGCCCTCAGTTGTATTCAGTGGTCAAATATTTCTGAATAGTGTTTGCATTAATGGCTGGATGATTGTACATTACACCGTACATGATGCCTACTGTTTCACTTACTATTTTTAAAAATAGTAGATAGTATACAGTGTATACTGCACAGTAAATAATAAGCTAGTATTCCATTCTGAACATGCCTATTAGAAGTAGAATACCAAAAATGAAGTTTGGGGGGGAGGGGAGAAATTAGCACACCTGAAGGAATGCAGGGGATGTCAGTATGGATTTGAGCCCTGATGGGTCTGTTGCTGACCAAAGACTCCTGTGCTTCATCAGCAGTTACACTGTGCTGAGATCATTCTTTGTCATGTCCTGACTCTAGGATGTAATGCTGGGTCAGCATTTAGCTAGAGTTTAGTTTACACACAGTCAAGTCATGGCACACTCTCCAACGGCCAAGATTCCTAAAACAAGAGTCTCCCTCAAAAGATTTACTCTGGGAGAAGCAGCCCGTCCCCTTTTCCTTTTTCTTCTTTTTTAGAAATAAAGCCATCCTTAGAAAGAAGCCATCACTGTTGTCATAGTGCCAAACGTCCTTGTAAACAATGAACTCTTTATATACAGTTCTCAAAGCAACACGGCTGCCAAGTTACAAAAAAACAATCATGCCCCGACATATGAGCATCCACACATAAGCACAAAGTTCTTAGATTAACATTTAAAAGATACAAATACAGAAAAATATTTCTTTAGATGACATGACTTAAATGATCCAGCATCAGGAATAAATGAATCTTTAGATACAACATTTGAGGGCATGACCATCAATATTGTTGCTGTAGTTTGGTGATATATATATATATATATATATATATATATATGTGTGTGTGTGTGTGTGTGTGTGTGTTTTTCAAATATATTAAAATAAAACAATTTATTATAGTTAAAATAACTTATTTTTTTAAATACTATTAGCTACTGTTTTACTGTATTTTTGATCAAACAAATGCAGCCTTGATAAGCTTATAGTTATACTATAATGAAAGAAAACGAAATATTAAACTATTATAACAATAAAGTTATTTAATTTTTGTTGATGTGTTTAAAATGAAGTAACAGTTGGCATCAGCTATTCATTGTTGTTTCATTGTGTTTACAAATATAATATGATAGACATGAATGCCACATATTTTGTGGAGTGGCCCAAAAGGCTTTAATTTTTGGTTAAATTTACTCAAAATAAATTGACTTTACCTTCTCTTGACCTGTGTGCAGTGAAGCACTCTCAATCATTTGCCTCCTCTCGCGGTGCCTCCTCCAGCAGTCTTGAAGAGTTGAGAGAAACTGCCCGGCGCCTGACTTCAGACAGCTGTTTGAGACAGCGGGCCTACAAGATCATCACCTACCAGAAGACCGTTCAGTCTGAGAGATGGACTGAGAGAGGGGAAGCTGTTTTGTCATCCTGCTCTGTGCTGTGCAACTTCTGGTGAATGTTATCATAATTCAGTAAGGGAAATCTGCACATGCAGTGTGCCATCATACTTTGGGACTGTGTGTCCTTCTTATTGTGTCCATGTAAATGTAAAACACTGTAGAATAATAAAACGATATGAAATGTCTAAATATTTGCTTTTAGTGAGAATAAAATAACTTATCTAACAACACAGCATTTTTTTTAAAGGATTTAATATTTTTACACTCAATAGAGAAAACAGTGCCAGCTCGCTTTTTTATTTTTTATGTTATTTTACCTTGGTTCAGAAAGTTTTTCTCATTTTTCCCATAGGGATTTTTTTTTTTAAGTCTTTGTTAAACAGTTATAAGCCATGCACCAAACCAACCGGCCATGAGGTGAATCACAACATTGCAAACTTTGATTTGAAGCAAAAAAGTATTTGAAAATCAGACAAAAAGACTAGAAGGCTATAGGCCTCAACAACAGCTTTAATGAGGGGAAGAACTACAATCCCATGAAGCATTGCAAATTACATAATCAAATTAACAATGATGGACTTAAAGATTTAAAGAATGGTGGATTAAATATAAACAATATGTTATATTTATTGCAAAGTATACATATACAAATGTTTATGTAGTTTGAGAGTGTAGGGAGACTGACTCCATTACTCTTCCAAAGGCTTATAAATTATTCTTAAAGGTGCAGTATGTAGGATTGACTCTGAGTGGTT